CCCCCCAAACCTCCCATCTTTTTCCTCACAAGGAAAAGGACAGACTAGCACAGAGGAAAAGAGTGCAAGCTGTCCCCAGAAGCCCCATCCTCTGGAATCCCCGCCCCTGCACCGGGTGACACCAGGTGTGAGGATGCCACTGCCTCTGTGTTTACATCATGGTAAAAAAGGCTTGAACATGATAGCATTGTATATTCTAGAAACTGAAATACAGTTGGCTCTCCATATCCATGGATTCTTTATCCATGGATTCAACAATCTACGGCTTGAAAATATTCAAAAAATATATAAATTCCAAAAAGCAAACCTTGATTTTGACATTTTATATAAGGGACACCATTTTACTGTGCCACTGTATTTAATGGGGCTTGAGCATCCACAGATTTTATTATCCATGGGGGTGGGGGTCCTGTAAACAAACCCCAGCAGATACCAAGGGCCCACTGTAATGCTGTTGTATTATTTATTTACCATATATATCCGAGTATAAGTCGAAAGCATGTTTTGGGACCACAGCATACATATTTTTATATGACGCATGGATCAATCAAGAGTAGAAATTAGAGACTGCTGCCATTTAGTTGCCCTGGTATTCAAAACATATTTTCACTACTCTACTCAGAGAAGGGAATGATTCTTTTTTAAATAAAAATTAAGGTAAAGTATTAACTCTTATTTTTAAAAAAGAATCACTCCCTTCTCTGAGTAGGGTGGTGAGAGCTCAGTTCATCCTGGGAGAACCTAAAAAAGCACTATCCACCACCACCACTACCATTCTGGCCTTTTTGAATGCCTAGACAGGAAAATGGCAGTGGCTCTTTGGCTTTTTCCCTCAAAGAGAGTAGAGGGGCTCAGTGATACATTTAGGTTCTCCAGAATGGACTAAGCTCTCGCCTTTTGCCACTCTACTCAGAGAAGGGGATAGTTCCTTTTCTGATAAGAGTTATTTATTGTATTTACATTAACCATTGGGTAAGTTGACCCAGTTTTTGGGGTCAATTTTTGGCTAAAATTTATAGACTTATACATGAAGTGTAGGATATTACTTACCAGTGTGACACAGGTCTTCAGATGTACTGACCAAATAATTTCATTTATACTTAAAATATTAATACTCTAAAGTTACATTTGATGAAATAATTTTTCATATAAATCATAAGTTTTTCCCAAGCAAAATGATGGACTCTTTCTCTGCTCTTTGGCAGCCTTTTTTAGTGTGCATTATATCTCATCAGATATTGTATTACACCACTACTTCCATTTCTCAATTGGCATTTATGCATATATATTTATTTCAGATATGAGAAAATCCTGCAACAGGAAAAACAGCCAGTTTCAAAACTTTCATACACAGCAAACCAGTTTTATTTGGAAGCAGCAGCAAAATATTTGCATGCAAACAGGAGCAGTGAAATGATGGAAATGCTTTCCCACCTTGATACTGAAGACCAGCTTTTTTTCTTGAAAGAACATAAATGTCTTTTTGAAGCAGCTGACCTTTTGAAGAAGGAGGGCAGAGAAGAAGAAGCTGCAAAGTTGATGAAACAGCATGGGTTTGTGTTGGAAGCAGCCAAGCTCACTAACCAAATAGAGTTCCGAGCATCATGTTTGCTTGCTGCAGCCCGCCGTGGTGTGTTAGGCTGTTATAGTGTGGAGAATTTACCAGCCATCTTGGAAGAAGCTTTAAAACTATGTGAAAAAACAAACCAAAAGTCTGGCAGTGCAGAAGCAACTTACTTGAAGGGTGTTCTAGGAAAAGACTTCTGTACATTGAAGGAGGCTTTCCACATGTTCTTGCATGTGAATCACACTGCAGGTGCTGTGGAAGCATTGTTTGAAGCAGCGCATTATGAAGGAGACAATGAAGCCTTCTTACAGTTAACATCACAAGGAACAGGAGCACTTCTGAAACTAGTCAGAGCTTTCCAAAAGGCAGACACCAATGCTGAGAGAGAAATGGTGAAGTCATGTTTTGAATACTTTGGGATTGTGCAGATAGATAAGGAGATTTGCCAGATCTCTCAAAATGAAGCAGGATATTTACTGGGATATTTTCCTGAAAGCTTAAACCTGAGAGGGAAGAAAAGTGATGACTTCACTGCAAGCCTGGAAGAAGTGACATCTGTACTGAATAAGCATTTGTTGAAGAGGCTGACTACCATTATTCACTGTTTACTTGATCGAAACTTCCCCAGTATTTGTTCCAAGTTCATTGCAGGCTTGAAATGTGAGGACAAAACATGTAAGGACCTCCATAGAGTTTTGTCACATCCAGAGATAAAATCTGTGTTTCAACATAAAATGCATCTGGCTGCAATAAATGGACTACTGTTAGAAGCCAAGCAAGTATTCCCAAAAGATTTGCTTCATGAACCTAATGTCATTGATGAATTGTTGACAGCTGATAAATATGCTTTATGCAGATCCCTTGTAAATGCCATATTTCCTAAACATTTCCACCTGAGACTGATCTCTGAAAACCCACGGGCATGCAAAAATATCCTCAGTTTTCAAAGCAGTGACTGTGTAACTTCTAATTCTTGCAGAATGGTATTGAAAGAATATATAAGATCTGAGTTTAAAAATGAGACTTCCCGAAACAGAAGAGAATCTACTGATTTATTGCTGAAGACAATGCAGGTCCTTGCCTTAACTTCTCATTATCCTGAGGAGTTTGACAGGCTTCTTGACAGGGAAGAAGATGACTACAAGAGAGAACTAACAATGGCAGAAAACAGACTGAGAGGTCAAACCAGGGGTGTTGAAGGCAGATTTGGTATGTTGTTGCCTGACAAATATGCTGGAAATGCTGAAGGCACCCATTTGTGTTTCATTCGACTCTTGCAGGGTTCCATGGAGGAGCTGTACATTCACAGAAATCCTGAGAAGTGTAAATGGATGTTCTACCGTTTCATGAATGTTTTGGTAAAGAAATGCACTAATCCCTTGATTCCAAGTATAGGAAACACAGTGACTTTGCTAGAGTTTCAGTATATTTTGGGTTGTGCTGTCCTTATGCGCCTCTCCAGAAACATGACTCTTTGCCTTCCTAAGAGTTATATTGCTCTCTTCCACTACTGGGATTTTTTGTTCACAAGGGGAGACCGGCAAAAGGAGGTATTTAGTATTATACAGGACTATAAGCCACAGGACACAAAACGAGCTGTACAGGAATTTAAATTTCATCTGAGGTATTTAGCTGATGTTCTGTGTAAATATGAAAACTTCAACGTACTCCTGGATGCTTTTGATGACTCTGATTCCGTTATATCAGGAGAGGCTGAACGTACTGTGGTGCTTTGCTTAGTGATGTTGGTGAATGCAGATCAGGTGCTTGGCTGGCAATATAAAAGTATTTTATCAGACCATTTCCCTGCCCTCAGGGAAAGCCTTGTACAAATCAAAAAGGAGTGCCCCTCTAAAGTGCCTGAAAGATTGTTTAAAACTGTGGATTTGATGTGCACAGCCCCTGATGTTAAAGAAATAGTTGAAGGCCTCAAAGAGCTGCTGTTTTGCCGAGATGAAGAGTTTTTGGCGGACTGTTGTTGGAAATGGGATCCCAGAGGAACTTGGGGTACCAGGTATGGAGATAGTAAAGGGCTCAGAGGTATCTATTACAAGATTGCAGACTTGGGCAGATTTTCATATCTTAGTCAGGCAGCATATTGGGAAGAGCCAGAGCCAGATCTTGAAAAGAACATATATTTTGAAGAAAGAGAGGATCCATTGGCCAATTTAGCATCAATACGGCAGCAAAAGCAACAGCAAAAAGCTTCTGCCAAGCGGAGGTTGAGCTGTCTTTTCCTGTTTGTCTGCTGTTGCATTAGATGGAAGAGGGTCTCTTGTTCAAAATCAGGGTCCTTCGAAATGACATTGGGAATCTTCAAAAAAGCAGACATTGATAAAACACAGTGTGATCTGTGTGGAGTCAAATTTGGTCAAAGTGCTGTGAACTTCACTCCTCAGATTGAACACTTGGAAAAAGAGCCCACAGAAGTGACAATGCCAACAGAGATAGAGTGGGAAGAAAGTCTGGAAAGGCATGAAAACTTTGTGGCTGGTGAAACATTTGAAAATCATATCATCCTTGCTGAACATGAAAATAAAAGCATCTCTTACCAGAAATATTTTGAGTTTTTTAGAAACAAGATTGAACCATTAATCCATAATGGGACTAATGTGATGGAAAAAATTGAGGAGAATACCTGCATCAGAGGTCATTTTACTGTGAACGAAGAGTCTAAACTAATGCAAAGAAGAATTGAAGAGTGCATTAAGAGAATTTCTGATGCAGTGGAAGATATCTACAAGAGGAAAGCATGGATTGATGGTAAGACATTTTGGCTATTTCTATAGCTTGTTTCAGCAGTTGAGGAATTACTACCAAGAAATTCATGGATGAAATCGTTAATTCATTAGAATAAATATGTCTGTCTCTCTGTCTATTTTATCTATCTACATTGTGTGTGTGTTTGTGTGTATTCTACATTCGGATAACTGAATGGAATGTCTGCTGTGCAAATATGTTTAGTAGTAGTCCACTCTAGTAAGTATTTTTGAATTAGGTTTTAGATGGGGGCAAGGAATTACCAGTGGTTAGGGGACATACATTGACTATAATCCCTGCCCGCTCTGTGGCCCCCACCCTGTGATTTTCCCCCCTGCATCTTTGTGCCCCAAAAGGGGTGCAGTTTCATTATGTTTTTGGACTTCTGTGGCCATTTTAGACCTTGTTTGCAGCAGGTGTCAAGAAAGAGCAGTTTTTTAGGGAGGCTCAAAGTGGCCTTGGGGGCTGCATACAGATTGCATACCACAATTTTCCATGCTTTACAGCCATAGAAATAGCATGGTTGGTGTTATTGTGTGCCTTCAAATTGTTTTCCAATTCCAAAAACCCTATCCTGGGGTTTTCTTGACATGATTTGTTCAGAAGAGGTATGTCATTCCTTTCCCTGAGGCTGAGAGCATGTAACCTGTCCAAGATCATCCAGTAGGTTTCATGCCTGGGCATGAAATCGAACCCTGGTCTCTAGAGTCATAATCCAACACTCAGACCGCTATACCATGCTGGCTCTCTAGATTATATTAAAAGTTTGTTTACTCCAGCATTCACCACTCCCAAAACTATCTTTAATGGCAGATATTTAGTGTCCATACTATTTTAAGCTTCACTGGCCTTTTCTGTCAGAATGTTAAACTTTGATTGTATACACTACACACTTCCTGGGAGTAAACCTCATTCAATACTGTGGGATTTAAGGGCCTGTACAGACTGACAGAAATAATACAGCTTCAGACCACTTTTAACTGTCCTGGCTCAATGTTAGGGAATCATGGGAACTATAGTTTTTTGTGGCCCCAAGCTCTCTTACAGAGAAGGCTCAATGCCTCAGAAAAAAACTACAGTTCCCATGATTCCCTAGCATTGAGACAGAACAGTTACAGTGGTCTCAAGCTGGATTATTTCTGGCAGTCTGTTCAGGCCCTAAATTCTAGCTAGGCTGAATAGGATTACTCTGCAAACAATTACCTCACTGAGAAGCATCTTCCCTCCTCCTCCTCCTCCTTCGTACTATCTTCTTCCAGTAAAATCCAGTGATGTCCCAAGTGATTTTCAGTTTGTATGCAAACCATATGGTCTACATTAAGGTTTTTACCTAAATTGTTCCTTAAAGTGTAGTCCTAAACTTGCTTTTTTGGGAATAAATGGGGGGATGCAGATGGCGAAAAGCACCATCTTCAATCCCAGGAAGGGGAAGGGCAGCCGGATGCCGGGTGCCCCAACCCCTTCCTGAGGACGTCATCTTAGTGCCCCCCATTGCACACACGCTGAGCCAGAGACTTGGTGCCTCTTCCAGCACCCCTTTTGGCTCCTCTGAAAGGAACACTATTTTAGCGCTCCTTTTCAGAGGCGTCATAAGGGTGGATTGGGGCTGAGGCATGAGGCAGCCTCGTTCCCAATCCGCAGCTTCTCGGGCCATGGCTGCCTGTCTGTAGAGGCCCTTATATCACTGTTCAGTGGGATTTACTTCTGAGTAAGCAGCTATAAGATCAGTTTGGTTTCTGTATGGAAGAGTAAGCAGTTTGTGCTTAGAGACTGAGGGGGGTTGCAGACTGCCAGAAATAGTGCAAATTGAGTCCACTTTTAGGGTTAGGGTTAGGGTTAGGGTTAGGGAATCATGGGAACTGTATTTTATTGTGGCACCAGAGCTCTCTGACAGAGAAGGCTCAATGTCTCAGAAAAAAAACAATTCCCATGATTCCCTAGCACTAACCCTAACCCTAAAAGTGGACTAAATTTGCACTATTTCTGGCAGTCTGCAAGCCCCCCTGAGAATATGTAAATTCCTTCTATAGCTCGCAGCATTTTGTGACTGGTTTCATCACCACTTTTGTGAGAGAAAATATCAGCTATTGATCTCTAGTGATACCCACAATGCTTTTGTAAAATGATTATCTGCACATGAGCCCCAAAAGATAAGGAGCCACAGTTTTAACTTCTTGCATCAATATATGTTCAACTTTAGCTGAAGAAATCATGTCCAAGTTAGCTTGTAAACTGGAATCTAATGTAGAGAGAGCTGTGAAATGGCTGGAGAAAATGGAATCATCTCTGTTAAAGGAGGAAGGTATGTTTCAAAATTTACATAGCTCTATGCAGGACTTAATGTTATTATTTGTTAAACGTTTTTATTGTATAGAGGTGAGCAGTACTGTGGTTGCAGGTCACTTAATATACGACATGTAATTAATGATTGCAGTTGTACTTTTTTAAATGATTTAGGGGGTTGCAGACTGCCAGAAATAGTGCAAATTGTGTCCACTTTTAGGGTTAGGGTTAGAGTTAGGGAATCATGGGGACTGTAGTTTATTGTGGCACCAGAGCTCTCTGTCAGAGAAGGCTCAACGTCCCAGAAAAAAAAGTTCCCATGATTCCCTAGCACTAATCCTAACCCTAAAAGTGGACTCAATTTGCACTATTTCTGGCAGTCTGCAACCCCCCCCATAGTCTACTACATATTTAGCCCCTGCCTTATGGCAGTAGAAATCTTCCTCCATGTCAGCTGCTAGAGACATGGAGTACTCATTGACTTGTTTCTGCATGTGGAGAAAAACACAAGTAGGATGAGTGTCGTCATGCCAAAAAGAAGGGAGTTCTTTAGTGTTGAGCTGTCCTTGCAAAGCCTATGGCTACTTTTCTCATCAAGTGTATAATTGCAAATGGGCCTTCACTGTAAGCCATAAAGTGGGCATGCTGGATAGAAGGGATTCCAGAAGGATCAGAGATCTTAAGAATACTGGAGCCATATATATATATATATATAGAGAGAGAGAGAGAGAGAGAGAGAGAGATTTAGGGTGGACAATGTGAGGCTCTCCAGATGTGATTGGAATGCAATTCCCATCAGATTTAGCCTCATTAATTAGGAATGCTGGGAGTAATCGTCTCAGTAGCATCTAGCAAGCCAAATTTTGCTTACCCTCGCTTTAGACAATCTTAGAGTATATTTTGTGTCTGTGCATGGTAGTCTTGCTTCATATTGTTTTTGATTGAACTTTTCCCATTCAGCCCCTCACCCTTTCATTTTTCCTCACTGGACTTGCTAGCAAACAGAGGTTCAAAGTTGAAATAGATGGTTCTTTGTATGATTCTTCTTCCACTGTGTCCATTCTTTCAACTCTTTTGTATAGTTCTTCTGTGTATTGCTTCAATCCTCTTTTTATTTCGTCCTGGCCTGGTTCTTCTGATCTTAGAGCATCCCCACACTTAGTTTGAATTTCCCTTTGAATTCACTGATCTTGTGAAAAGTCTCTTCTTCCTCCTTTTTTGTTACTGTCTTCTATTTCTCTGTATTCATTATTATAGTAATTCTTTTTATCTTTGAGCACTTGTCATCAAAGAGTTGCATTCATGGTTCTGGTTCTGTTCCTGTTTCCCTTTTGCTTCTTGTCTTTCCTTTACTACTTAAAGTGTTTCATCTGTCATCCATTGTTTCTTTTCTTTCTTTTTGGCCACAGTTAGTCTCTATATGCATTCTTCCTTTATTATGTCCCTGGCTTCCGACCATAGTTCTTCTGGTTCCTGGTTGATTTTGTTTAATAGTGCAAATTTATTTCTGACTTTTCCCATACATTCTTTTGAGATGTTCTTCAGATTGTATTTTGGCATGATGATTGATCTTGTGTTCTTCATCAGCTTTGTTCTAATTTATGATATAAGTAGTTCATGATCTGTGTCACAGTCAACACCTGGTCTCAGTTTGGCCACAAGAATAGATCTTCTGCTTCCAGTTCAGTCTATCTGCTATTTGTATTGGCTCTTTGGTGATACCCATGTGCACAGTCTCTTCTCAGGTTGTATGAAGAAGGTACCTTGATCCTTGTCTGAATACAGTTTTTTATTCTTCTCTACTTTCTACTTTAGCATTCCAGTTGCCCCTGATTAGCAAGAGATCCTGTTTTGTGTTGTCAGTTTCTTCCTGGATTCCATTGTAGAATCTCTCAATTTCTTCTTCCTCTGCCTCTATGATTGACACATATACTTGGATTATGGTGAAGTTTATTAATTTTCTTTGAAGTCTTATTGACATAATTTGGTCTGATTTGCATTATAACAAACAGCTGCATCATTCTAAATTATTATTTTGCCAAAAAGTGGGTTTGATTTGTACTTTGCACTTACTGCTTTGATCTTTGCTCATTGACTGGTTTCTTCTCCTTTAATTTCAAACTAGAGTTTGACTTTGACAAAGACTTGGACAATGAAGTAAGAGATGAAGAGATAACATTTGATGAACTGCAACCCAAAGAGCCCTCAAAAAAGAAGAAGAAGAAGAAGAAATAGTTTAAAAACAGCAACCAGAGATTTACTTTTTTGTTGACTTTGACTCTGTTTTATTTTATTTTTAAATGCCACTAAGTGGTAAAAATTTGGCTGAAAATTGAAATGTGAAGTTGTACTAGCAAAAATTCACTCTCCCCCCCTCCCACAGTGATTTAGATAAAATGTTAGCACTTAGCTTATAATCATTGGTTTCTATTTTTAAAAAATACTCAAATTTTGAATATAATCAGCTCCTAGCAGTGAAACAGTCAAGAACAGTATATTTGGCAGAGAACCCCACATTTCTGACAGAAACCTAAAGTGAGAGGATAGGGTTTGGATACAGGGGACCATCCTTAGCTCTTTGCTTTTTCTTGTAATGCTCCTTTCCATTCTTTTACAAGTATGTTTGCTGCTTCTCACTTTCAGATTGCACCCTCCTCCCAGCTACTTTGCAACTTGAAGAAGTCTGGGTTTGTATTCTGTCTCCATCTAATATGATCTTTCCACTTTTGAAACCCGTTGTATTAGTAACTGGAAAGCATCTATAAAAAATTCATTCCTTCTAGTTGTTATCTTCTCTACTTGCTGTTCTTTGCTTTCCAAAGTACGGAACTAGTTCTCTATTCACTGAGCAAGGAAAAGTGACAAGAAAAAAGTGGGTTTTTAAAGTTTATAAAAATGTTTTCTTGCAGGAAGTTAGTTCATGCAAGTGAAAAGCCACTGTGAATTTTTGAGACTTTATGCCTACTTTCACTGGGTCTCAGAAATATGATTAGACTAGGATTGATCCTATTTTTGTAACTTGTTTTGATATCAACTGTCTTTTATGTGTTTCATTGTGGTTTATATACATTTTTATAGAGAATAATTTTGTACATTTGAAATTCCAAAAGGAAATGTATTAGAGATTTTAAAAGAAAATAAAACAAATATTGATACTAAAGCATGTTATTTTCAGTAGTTCACTGGACCTGTAGAATTTATCTATTTTACAGCACATATGGATAAATGGAAGTTGGAAAGCCTGTTGTGGTTCCTAGCTGCTCTCTGGAGCCCTGCTGAAATGCAAATGGATTTTAAATTTCCTGGACTTTATAAATCTCCTTATAGCCACAGGGCCAGAAGAAGGAGGAGCCTGCCTACAAAGGATATCCTCCCCACCATATACCATATTAACCAAAGACTGAAACAACATGTAGGCATCTGACCAACATCTCCAATAATTTTTCTCCTGTTTGGTTTGTA